GTGTCTGTTTGGGTACCATTTTCTGTAATTTTCGAGAATTCCAAAGGTTTGCTAGCTGGCTGTGCCAGGACATAGAGATTTATCGGCAGAGTACCCGGCTCTTTCTTATTCAATTAATAGGCATGTATATTTCAATTAATAGGCATGTACATCTACTGTACTACTGTACTATTAGACCTTGGCTCTGGGCATTTGTTCTAAGGAAGGTTTTGTCTTGTTCTATGTATGCACTGACAATCGAAGTCATATACCTCTTCGATTCTGGTGATTGCTGCGTCGATTGTGAAGGGCGTTGCCGTTGGTATCTGCTTTTTCAGGTGCAAGCAAAATGTGACCGAGAAAAGTCATGATGGCTGCTCAAAAATCTGACTAGAGGAGAAACTTCACTTATCCCCAAGCAGCCCGTAGAACAGTCTACCACAAGTACACTAGCTGGTTGGACAAATTGGAGAAAACGATATATTATGCCCATTTTTCATCTACAATACATTAGACCATTGTACCACTTGTATATATTCTAGCTAGGAAAGGGGCTTTGTTCCCCTGTTCCCCAATATATTTCGTGTTCCCTTGTTCCCTAATTTTGTTTTCCTTTGTTCCCGTGTTCCCATTGTAAAATTTACAGTGTTCCCTTGTTCCCCAAAAACCCCTGGGAGACCCTCAGTAATTCGAACGTCGCGGGTTCAAGACCCAGCCGCGGCAGACTTTATCTTTCTGCTTACGCTGGGTATCGAAATATATAATACACACTCGAGAACATTTTCACCTTATATATATATATATATATATATATATATATATATATATATATATATATATATATATATATATATATATATATATATATATACCACTGAATACTTGTGCTTGCCAGCGCCTTAGAGAAAACATGCAGTTATTCTCGCGTTGGGATGAATTATGAGATGTAATCGAACTAGATATTTCTTTGCAAATTGTCTCTTAATGTATATGTGAAACATTAAGCTGATCAAACAACCGATTAACAAGAAGAAATTAAGCAATCGTCAATCGAAACTGCGTTACTATCAAGTCTAAAATACTAGATACACAAGTTTAGACCTTCGATTACACTACGATAATGATTTAGGTTTAAGTTATTAAAAAGTTGCCTGTGCAAATACTCATTACACAGTTTTATAAATTGCAAATTGAACAAAAAAGCTGATGAAACAAAACACTAACGAAGTTTGCAGTTAATTGAACAGCTTAAACAATAATTACAGCGAAAAACGTTGTATAAGGAATACTGTGGGTCTGCATCTATGAACGTCTATGAATTAAGAAAGCCTGAGATATATATATACAGGGGCGTAGGAAGCTTCTAAAAGTTGGGGGGGGGGCAGGCTTTGAGGCGCACTTTTCGAAAAAAAGGGCATCTAAAATTTTTTTCCCGGAAATGTTGGCGACGGGGGGGCCAGAGTCATCTCAAAAAATTTTTTCGGACATACCCAAAAAAATTTTCCAGATATACCACATTTTTTCCTACATACGAAAAAATTTTTCCGGACACACAAAAAAATTTTCCGGAAATATAATATTTTTCTCGGAAATTAAAACATTTTTCCCGATAGTCATAGATTCAAGTTTTTAAAAGTGCCCTTTGGGCAAAAAAGGCAATCTTAATGAAAATTTTTCACGCAATATATATATATATATATATTATAAGGAGTGTTTCATCAGAAGTAAACTTGGTTCAGGTTAATTGTAAATTGGTTTGTTAAAATACGGATTAAGGTGGCTCTCTATAGCGGAATCCCTATAATGAGTTGTGTTTATTTATATAAAACGTTTTTTATTTTTTGTTTGGTTTTGCATTTTTTCCGAGGATTAACCGATCTAAACGACTTTTAAAGTGCCCGTAACCCCAAAATTGATTTTCAGCTTGTTAAAAGTATGCTACCAGTGGAATACTGAGTATTGCGAAAACATTTTTGCGTTTGGTTGAAAAGCAAACATTTTAGAGCCGGCTTGAATTATCATTGCTTGGTCAATGGACGTGTACGGGAGTCTGGGTCTAGCACAATTTCTTACGTCACGCCAGAAATATTAAGCCCACAGATAAGCAAATACACGAGGCTTGCCACTAAAACTTTGAACTGAAAATGGCGAAAATCATCAATGGTGATCTGGTAAATCTTTCGAAGTTATTATCGTCGTATTTCAGGAATATTACAATTTACAGTATATTATGTTCAAACTAGACCGGGTTACATGCAGGTCTTACATATACACTTGCAATTGTTGTCACGCGTACTACACTGCAGCTTCTCTATATTTTACGATCATTTTTAGTGAGCATTTTCACAAGTTTATGAAACTTTGCCATGGTTTCATACTACGCTGATCAGTCGATCCACCAAGGATAAAATATGTTGTGTTATGCTTTTAAGTTGTCCCTGCGGCAATATTTTATTGCCACATACCGATCATATGACAAGACAATTTACACTATCTTACAATTTGATGCGCTATTCGGTCATTCGGTCACCACAAAGTTCGGATCACTAGATGACACGCCTGTAAACTGGTAGTATTTTAGTCATTTCACGCATGCATGGGCGTACCGGAAGGAAAAAATTAGGGGGGCGGAAAGAAATTTGCCCGACTTTTTCGGATTGCGCCCGACCATTTTTTTCCCGGAACAATTAATTTTGGCGACCTCCCCCCCCGTCGCCAAAAAAATTTCGGTCAGTGTACCATTTTAGGGGTCCAAAAATTTTTCGGACATACCAAAATTTTTCGGAACATCAAACAAATTTCCCAAACATCACAAAATTGACATAATTTCCCGCAAAATTGACAGAATTTGTCCCATTTATTTTTATAATAACCCAATATTGCCCGACTGTGAAGCGAATATTGCCCAACTGGCTTTGTTTGCCCAACAAACTGGGGTTATTATTAAAAGAGATTTTATTGCTTTGACTACTTTTTTTGCTTTTTAATTTCCCACTCTTCGCCGCCCGACTTATGTTGAACATTTGCCCGACTTTTCGACTTTGTAATCTTTTGGGGGGGGGGGGGGGGGGGGG